GAGCTGCGTCTCGGCACCCCGAACACCTCTCGGGGGCTTCTCTGTTTCCAGGGTGACCTCAGGGAGGGGGGACGGTTTCTCGTCCCCCCGTGTTGCAGAGATGCTTTTGGAACGGTCACTGCAGCCTTGTCGCCATCGATGCGGTTCGCTGGAGCCCGCAGCAGTCTGAAGCGATAGCTTGGGGTGAAGCGCTGCTGTCCTCCTGCTCTCCCGATGCCCAGAGGAACCCCGGTCCTCCAAGCGTCAGGGCGGCCTCCAGCTTCAGAAGCTGGACCAAAAGAGAGGCGAAGCTGCAGGGAGCTGGGGGAAGGAGCTGTAGGCAGAAACCAGCGGGGTTTGGGGTGAGCAGATGGTTGTAGGCTGGCAGCGGCTGTGCGGGGAGGCCAGGAGCTCGCAGGAGCTGGTTGCAGTGCGCTTGGCAGCTGTGATATCGATGCTCAAGACCGCTGTCAGCGAGCACGGGGAGGGTGCAGTTTCAGCAGAACTAGAATAGGACGAATTTGCTGTAGGAAAGCTGGCATGACACTTGTAAGAAATGCATCAGCCCAAACCCGCAGAGCTCTGGCTGTTGTGCCACAGAAGATCTGCAGATCAACAGCAGCTGGTAGGAAACAGCCTGGGAGCAGTTTGCGGCTGAGCTTGGCCTGCCTGGTCAGGGGGATCAGCACCGACAGCAGTCTGGGTTTAAGACTGACTGCTGGAAGAAGCAAATATTGCTATTTTGCTGACAGATGGGTGATCAAAAGTGGAGGGAGTAATCACAATGAAATCAGAGCTACTATTGGTGGGTAAGAACTTTAGTTGTGCGTTTAAACTGTCCATGAACATTTTTCTCTCTCTCCTTTAAGCGGAGAGGTGCTCGTTTCCCCCCCTGCCTTCCGCAGCTCTATCCCACACCACGTAGCTGCGCTGCTGTAAGCTGTAGCGCAGGCTGGCATGAAGCTTGTCTTACTGCCACGAGCCGCAAAACGTTGCCAGGCTTTCTACCTTTGGATATTAGTTGTGCTCCAGCAGGTGGGAGTGGGAGGCAGTGCAGCAAATTGGCCTTTTCCTGGGACCACGCGTCCAAGAGAGGAGGAGAGAGGTGGGAGAGGGAGGGTCCCTCTCCCACTCTGCCTGGATGGAACAGGCTGGGAGACAGTGGCAGGGAAACGAATGAGCAGCAGCTCTTCTTTGCCAGCATTTTTCCACTCTGAAAGACTCTGGGGTGGCCACTGTCCCAGTGGGGTACAGGGCGATTTGGATTAACCCCAGACACTTGTTTGGAAATCGCCAGTTCCAGGCTTCAAGACATTACCTACAAGGGCCAGCAGAACTCACAGTGTCACAGACTAACAGCAAAGTGTGGGTTGGAAGGGACCTCTGGAGATCATCTGCTCCACCCCTGCTGCTGAAGCAGGGCAGCCCAGAGCCGATTGCCCAGGACCACGTCCAGGTGGTTTTTGAATATCTCCAAGGATGGAGGCTCCACAACTTCCCTGGGCAACCTGCGCGAGTGCTCAGTCACCCTCACAGTGAAAGGTGTTTCCTGATGTTCAGAGGGAACCTCCTTTGTTTCAGTGTGTGCCCACTGTCTCTGGTCCTGGCACTGGGCAGCACTGAGAAGAGCCGGGCTCCGTCTTCCTTGTAATCTTCCTTCAGGTAACTATACACGTTGGTTAGATTCCCCCCCTGAGCCTTCTCTTCTCCAGGCTAAACAGTCCCAGGTCTCTCAGTCTTTCTCATAGGAGAGACGCTCCAGTCCCTTCATCACCTTTGCTGGACTCTCTTCAGTCCATGCCCCTCCTGCACCGGGTAGCCCAGAACTGAACACAGCACTCCAGGTGTGGTCTCACCAGTGCTGAATAAAGGGGGTGGATCACCTCCTTCAGCCTGCTGGCAATACTTTGTTTAATGCAGCCCAGGACACTATTCACCGCCTGTGCTGCAAGGGCACACTGCTGGCCCATGTTCAACCTGGTGTCCACCAGGACCCCTGGGTCCTTTTCTGCAAAGCTGCCTTCCAGCTTGGTGGTCCCCAGTGCGTACTGGTGCCTGGAGGTGTTCCTCCCCAGGGCCAGGACTTGGTGCTTCTCTTTGCTGAAACTTCATGAGGTTCCTGTCAGTGCAGTTCTCCAGCCTGTTGAAGTTCCTCTGGATGGCAGCACAACCATCTCGCATCCTAGCCATGCTCCTCCCAGTTTGCTGTCACCTGCACGCTTGCTGAGGGTGCAATCTGCCCCACCATCCAGATCATTAACGGAGATGTTGAACGGAACTGGGCCCAGGATTGACCCCTGGGGTACACTGCTAGTTACCAGTGTTCAACTAGACTTAGTGTCACCGATCACCACCTTCTAGGTCCAGACATTCAGCCAGTTTCCAGTCCACCTCACTGTCAGCTCATCCAGCCCAGGAGCTTGTTGGCTCCTCTGTCACTCAGGTCAGGAAGTTGTCATCAAAGCTCTCCAGGAACCTCCTGAATTGCTTGTGCCCTGCTGTGTTGTCCTTCCAGCAGCTATTGAGGTGGTTGAAGTCCTCCAAGAGGACCAGGGCCGGCAAACATGAAGCTGCTCCTGTCTGTCTGCAGAGCACCTCACCCGCTTGTTCTTCCTGGTCAGCAGCCTACAGCAACCTCCTACAATGTCACCCATGCTGGTCTGCTCTTTAATCCTCACCCACAAGCTCTCTGTTGGCTCCTCACCCATCCCCAGAGCTCCACAGCCTCCTGCTGCTCTCTCACACATAGCGTGGCTCCTCATCCTCTCTTTGCCCTGACTCCTCTGTACATACCACTGTGTAATTGTCGGGGTTCTCTTTTATGGCGTAGGATTAGGTGGACAAATGTCCTGATCCGGCGCAAGAATGTTTGCGAAATGAGAAGTGCTTTGTGCGGTTCGTTTCTGTGGTGGGGATGGTGGTCAAGTGCATCGGGAAGAGGATGAGAAGCAGGGAGCAGCCCAGCAGCAGAGAGCTGTAGAAGGGCTGCCTGGCAAGGTGTTACAGAGTCAGGTAAGTCACCAGGCAGGGGCTTTTCTTGCTGAAAAGTGTGCTGCCAGTTCTCTTGAATAAATTGGATCAGCTGCAGTGGCTGAGAAATGGGATATGCTGTGCAGATCCTTGTGCTTGCCCATGAAGAGTGAAAGTGAATGAAAACGCTGATCTGACCTCTCTTACTAGATGAGCTTGGCCGAATTACACAAGCGCGTGCGCTGGCCTATACAGCCTTGGGCACTGTCAGCATAGGCCCAAGAGCTTGTGTAACTCCTCCATCGATCCCGGTTTGTCTAATAAGAGATTGACGCTCCCTGCAAGGCTCGCCCTGCCTGCGCCCTGCCTCGAGGCTGCGGCACCGCTCTCCAAGACAGACCAGCAGCGAGGCCTCCTGCATCTTGCTGCAGCGAGGTCGGCAAGCCGGCCTGCTCCCCGGGCAGCAGGCCCTGCCCCGGCTGGATGCTCAGTGCTCCTGCAGCCTTCTTTCTCCTCTGCTTTGCCTCCTAGG